ATCTCTACTTTATAATCCAAGAGGCTTCATTGTTTCTCTCTTTCTGGCTCAAATCTTTGAACTATTAATTATCAAAGTAACTGGACTTGGCTCTAGTAGGCTGTGTTCATGCGCAGCAATTAGGAGAAACTCAGCAGAAAGTTTACTGGGTGATTATGTATAATTAATTCCTAGTAACAGACTGAATGCTGACCATTTTCTGGAGTTAATAAGAGCAGTTGCTACCCCCTCCTCTCCCCACAGGAACATCACTTCATTCCCCAAAGTAGAAAGTGAATCACTCCATCCTGGAGGGTCTTGGGGGGTGGAGAGGGCAAAGCTCCAGTGTGCTCCTGTGTCCCTTGGCGCTGCGGGACTGGAGGGAAAAGGAGGGGAAAATAACTCACTGCCAAGGGGTCAATGCTGACTCATAGTGACCCCCCAAGTGTCCCGTCCCCCGCCCTCCCCCATCAGAGACTCTTCCAGGGAGTAGAAACCATCTTTCTCTAACAAACAAACATCAGCCCCCTAATCTGTTCCTCCTGCTGCAATTTACAAAGGTGGCCAAAGAAGCTTCTCCCTCGAGGTTGGGGGGGTGGTGGTGCCCTAGGACCGTGTGGGGACTTCCCTTGGGAGGGCTGCTGTTCCTCTGCTTTTCCTACAAGGAACAAAGATGGTAGAAATTTCCAGAAGGCCCGTTCTCGGCTGAGCCACTGCAATTGTCAATCTTTAACCTTTCCTCCAAGTCCATTGGCTGGAAAACTGGAGAGAGAAAACCCCATTGGCCTGTTCTGGGAGCCAGCACTGGTGTCTCTACCTAGCCAGCTGCAATGCAGACATTTACACCCCCCCTTCCCTCCCCCCTCACATTCCCCCACCCCCATTTAGTGCAAAGGGAAAACAATGCTACTTTGAAGGCAATTAACTTTTTCTTTTTTTTTAAACAGACTCATGCTTCTCGGTAGCCTATTTGGGAGAAGTGTCCAGCTTGGTCCAGGGCTGGCAACTTGCTCCTGGAACTGCCCGTTGGAAAACAGATCTGAGCTTCCCAAACCTGTGGAAGCCATTTTCCTGTGAGCTTTTAGTGGACAAATGTCTTGCCCTAAGTTTCCTTCAGCCCAACAAACAGTATTATGCAAACATGGCAGGCACCAACTCAGGAGTCCTGTGATTAGATATTGCTTCTCGGA